TGTCTCCTGGAATCTCCTGCATGCTCTTGAGATTGTGCTGCGAGACACAGCAATCATTCTGGTAATGTACCATCCAGGAGGAGTACACAAGCGACTTACTCAATCCATGATATTTGTTTAATGTTGTAACAATGTTACTGGAGTTTTTTCTTCAGTTTAATATGTCTCAGGTTGTACAGTAATCTTCAAGGAAGTATAAGAATTTACACAGAACATGGTGTAAAAAGGTGTCTTTACTGGATTAAAGACATATAGAAATATAAACAGGTTCAAAGGCAAAGGGAAAACCAGATATTCTATCATTACATATACATACATAAGCAATCAACCCTATTTATTTATCTCTGCTCCCTTCCCTCTACCGGGAAACACCCGCTATGCCAGTATCAGGCTTGCAGATGGACAAGCAGAACCTGGGATACATAGCGGGGGGGGCCTGCAAGCAGGGTTTGCCATTACTGGGGGATGTTGAAGTAATCAGGCAGCAGCACAGCCACCCGAATGCTTCCCTCTGACAGGCAGGAGTCCATTTGTCAAATGTACACACACTCCCCATGGCTGTAGCTACTGGGATTGTGTGGAAAAAGACCCCTCTGTCAGGTCCGTACGCCATACGGACCTGGCAGTGTAAGAGTTAATTAGAAAGATCTTATTGTGCACATTGGACCAATCAGAGACTCCTCAATGATGGAGAATCAGAATAACTTGGATAAGAATGGGAGAGAGATTGCCCATTGGGGGAGAGACTTGACAGGAATAGACACCTGGGGGACCCTTGGAGTTCAGTCACATAGGGGGGAGAGAGAGAGAGAGAGAGAGAGAGACCAACCATTGTTCAATCTCCAGGAATTGGTAATATTTGATTTGCTTGCTAGCTAGTAATCTATACAATTTTTGATGGTTTGAATGTTTTGCCTAGTTGTCCTCTATAGTGCTAGGACTTTATTATTTGATAGTATCAGGGTATTGTTGCTATTAGCTTTTATCTGTGATATATTTGCTACTTAAGGGATGGTTCTGTCATATTTGTGTAATATTTTCTTACGGGTAACTAAGCTGCAGTGCCGGGACACGGTCATCCAGCACCCAGGGCGAAGATGGTAAACTGCGTCCCCTACCTTACCTGGGAGGAGGGGGTAGGGCTAATAGCACAATGTACTTACACTGCAGCATATTGAAGCACAAATATGGGGTTAACAGTGGTAGGGGAAAAAAATGTCCCTGTGTCAGTGGTGTCATTAGAAAGAAAAATGTTCTTGTGTCAGCAGTGTTGCTAAGAGAAACAATTGTGCTGTATCACTAGTGTCAGTCTGAAGAAGGACAGTCAGTGGGATAAAGTAGGGATGGGGAGATGTACATGGAACTAGAGGGATCTAGGGGGCCTTGAGCAAGGATGTTGTGCTGAAAGAGCCCATACAGATGTGTGGCTATCAGGGGCGGATTGACAACTCATGGGGCCCCCGGGCAATAGGGGATCATGGGGCCCCTGTGTCCTTGCCCAAACTCAAAAAAGCCTATGAAAAAGGTACCAGGGGCATCTCATGGGGCCCCTTACTGACCCCGGGCCCTCGGGCAGTGCCGAGTTTCCAAATGGTCAGTCCGGCCCTGGTGGCTATCATTGCTGCCGCTCAGAAAAGTAATATATGGCAGATCACTTTTCCGAGAGTGATTGACAGGTGGTGTTGTTTTTACTCACTGACCCACTGCGTTACAGATGTATGGATTGCACACAGTTACAAAGTGGTCCTCTTCCAGTTACTTTTTGCTGTGGATGCAAAGCGAATCATTGTGGTCATGGCATGTTTAGCTGCATCTCTCAATTCAGGTTGGGGGAGGGATGGTAAAAACTTGGCTCAGTTGCTTGCATTTAGCACCCTTGGCCCACCCATGTGAACAAACCCAACAAGGGCCTTGTTTACACTTGCGGTTGGAGGGCTGTAAAAACAGGCAGCTAAGAAGTGCTGTTACTGCCTCTCAACTGTCCCCCAAACAAGCAGCAAAGGCCGTCATATAGGGGCAAAACACATGTATGGCAAAAATTACAATGCTGTATCCCCTGTCATATTTGATAGGCAGATATCTCACTGAACATGATTCATTCAGTGAATGGGGCTGAGCTGGTGGTGAGGTGGTGATATAATGCCTATTCTCCGTCTGTCAAATGATTTCTGAAAAGCAATCCAATGTGAATCACTTTTCAGAGGGCCTTCACAATTGTAAACTAGCCCTAAAGCTTTGATTCAGCAAGGAATCTGCTTACGGATCCCCTGCAGACTGAAGTGGGCCTTGTTCTCTGTGAAAGGATTCCTATGGCTCCCCGCATCTGACTGCCTGAACACAAAACATATAGCTGCTACCAGCTGGTCACATGCCACAGCCATGATGCTGAGCTTAAGCAACATGCTGCTTTCGGTGGGTCGTGCTACCGCTGAATGCAAATAATGTAGTTCATTGAGGTCTCCCTGCAACTGCTCCACATCTAAGTATGATGCAGTAGTATGGCAATTATTGAGTTAAATCACCACTTCTCAAACAGTCCTGAAAAGTGATACAAGCATAGCTTTTCAGAGGAGCATAGTCACTTCCACATATGTGAACGAGCACTCAAAGAAAAATACCCCAGTTGGTTTTCAATACGAAGAAATACCATGATGGAGGTGAGGAGTGAACTGTTTAGGAGAGGACCTGGGCAATCATTGAAAGTCTTCATGGTGTATGTGCTACTCAGGGAAGGACTGACCATTTGGGAACTCGGGCACTGCCCGAGGGCCCAGGGTCAGAAGGGGGCCCCATGACATGCCCCTGGTACATTTCATAGTCTTTTTTGGGTGTGGTTTGAGTGTGGGCAAGGACACAGGGGCCCCATGATCCCCTATTGCCCGGGGGCCCCATGAGTTGTCAGTCCGCCCCTGGTGCTACTTCATTCCATCAGTCAAGTCCACCTAAAAAATGTCAGTCAAAAGACTCCTTTACACTCTGCCTACAGTGATTGTTAAAGTGGTAGTAAACTCTTCTTGAATAATGTTACCTAAAGTTAAGCGTATAATAAAGCTTACCTGTAGGTAAAATCAATATCTCCTAAACATGAACCGCTTAGGAGATATTTGTCCTTTCTGATAGCCGGTGCATGCCGGTGCATACCCGTGCCCAGGGGCGGACTGACCATTTGGAAACTTGGGCACTGCCCGAGGGCCCGGGGTAAGTAGGGGGCCCCATGAGATGCCCCTGGTACCCTTTTCAAAGGATTTTTTGAGTTTGGGCAAGGACACAGGGGCCCCATGATCTCCTATTGCCCGGGGGCCCCATGAGTTATCAGTCCGCCCCTGCGGCCAGTGCCATTCCTTCAGAGCACTGTGCCGTGGCCCGGGACTCCCATGTGCATGTGTAGGAGTGACATCACTGCGGCTCAGCCGGCCAGAGCTTTCGAACCTAGAAGGAAGACCTGGTGAAGTTGGAAGCCCAGAAGAGCAATGGCAGAGCTCCACTGGAGGTCTTCATTTCAAGGTAAATCCTTCATAATGTGCTAGTATGCAACGCATACTAGCATATTAAGGTTGTACCTTATGGGGGGGTTTTCTTTTTTTTATGCGGTTTACTACTGCTTTAAATGTAGTCAACTAAATAAATGCAGGGAAGTAAAGTGTTAATCTCCTCACCTGATTAGTGAACACTCACTGCATACTCTGGTGTCCTTTTATCATGCAGTGGTAAATGACAGCTGCTCAGTTCTCCGGCATTCTCATAGGAGAGAGTTCTCCTCTGAATGCCTTTTTTATGAAGCGGTGTAGATCACTTCTCCGAATGAAGAGAGAAGTGATCTACAAACGCTTTCTGGAAAATGGCTGCTTTTACTATAATCTCGCGAGATTACAGTAAGAGATCAGTCAAAGCCCGTTTACTAAGCAACAGTAATTTATCGCTGCTTCGTTTGCGGTTCTTCCGATTGTCCAGCTCTGAGCTGGAGAATCTGGAGGAAGAACACAGATCACCAGTGAAGGGCTGAGATCGCTCCTTCATACACTGGCCATCTGTGTGCTGAGATGATCAGTGGAGAACATTTTCTCCGCTGATCATCTCTGTTTCCTAAACCACTAATGATCGGAGATCAGCAATGATCCTCAGGATTGCCGCTGATCTCTGTTTCATAAAAGGACACCTCTGAGACTTTTATTGCCATCAGTCTACTGGTCTGACACTGACAACTGAAGATAGCAGCACTTGGGCAGGTAGCCTGTGACAGTGGGAGATCAGAAGATCAAGATACTGATGTCAGCCACAATAAATAGGGCTGCAGGGAAGTTCTGTTATCATGTGAGGAGATAAGATTTAACACTTTATTTCCCTGTATTTGTTCTTGGCTACTGTAGAAAAAGTGAAGGGAACTGCTGGAGCTTCAAGTGAGCCCTTGCCTCTACACAGAGACACTGCGCCCAGGGCAGATGCCCTTTCTGCCCATGCCTTGTACCGGCCCTGCTAAGCTGTCCATGTATATTTGTACGACACACAACTTTTCACCTGTAGTTTGTTATGAGAAGAGGGTGTGGATTTATAATAATATGGATATTACATATTAATGCCTATATTATTATTTGTTTAAACATTCCCCCCATTAGCTTATCTATCTGTCATAAATTAATGTTATTAAGGGGGATGAAAAAAAGGTGAAATTAGCAATTTTTAGCACAAATAAGTTATAAGGACGGTAAACAAAATAAATACCCTATCAAGACTATCTATCTTTATCTCTCATTCTCTTTTCTCTCTCTTTAATGTATATACGGTATATCTTTTATGCAGTTCCAATAACTCAACCTTTTCCTAATTTAAGGCAATCATTTAATATTAGTTAAGTGTAAAATGATTATCTTAATAAATATAATATTAATTATGCCACACTGTCAGGCAAGTGAGACAATGACACACACTGTGAACTTCGTCAGTTGCATATATTTATTTTATTATGTCAGGGAGAACACATTCTCCTGATCATTATCAGGAATTTAGCATGAATCCAAGACTCTTCGGAAAGAGCTTACTCTAGCATTCAGGGATCCCCAGTCGCTAAATCGCCTGTATTCTCCAGGTTTCAGGAAGTATTGCCTTCCACGATAGTTGGGCTGCTCATAGAAAATCCAATGACCTTCAAGAACGTTGCAAGAATTTATGTCATGGTATTTAAAGAGCTCAAATACGGATGGACAATCTTCCAAGACTTCCAGCATTTGGCCTCTAAATTCCTCTTTCTCATAGATCTTGATTTTGTGGGGACCTTTTTGCTAAAAAATACAAATGACAATAAAAATTAAATATGTGATACAGAGAAATGATGAACTTCATAGTAGTAATGAATCCCAAGTAACTGCAGCCAAATCTTGTTTAGCATATGTTGGATAGGGGGCGTTAGTTAACGAAATGTTATTCATCACTAGCTAGCTTTCTTTCCCGAAACAATGTTTAACCTTTTTATGGGAAATTCCTTTCACAGTGAACCTCAACTCAGAAGTAACTATTTAGGGAACATATTGGCTTGTGCCTAAGGAGTACCCTAACATGTAATGTTGCCTTGATTTCCTCCTGTAAAAAGAAGTGAACTTCCTGGTATGTTGCTGTGCTTAGAACTCAAACTATATATCTGCAGTGTGACATCATCTAAGATACTGCTGCCTGTGACTGCTCCCCTCAGGAGATCTGAAGTGAGATTTGGCGATGTCACTACTGTGCTGCTTGCTGGAGAGGAATCTGTACATCATGCATCTCCCTGCTTCTGTTTCATTCTGTAGATCTGTGTTTTGTGAACCTTTCCTGCTGTTTCTTGCATCACTCCACTGGTCATCAGATCACCAGTCAATAGGAGAGCAGCTCTAGACATAAGGAAGCAAAGTCCTGTTCCTCTGTTAAAATGGCCTCCTCCATGCCAGTGCAGAACAAGGTACGTAGTATAGTCGTAATGGCAAAAAGATCAGTTGTAGGAAGCCCATACACAATACTGCTGACTAGTCATTTGCCCTCATTCTGTCTATTTTGGCACACCTTCCACAGTACAAGTCCACATAACGAAACATTTAATCGTTTTTATTCAGTTTTATGACTCACTTTTTGCAAAGCATGTTCGACTTTCTAATAACAAACTGCCTGCATGTTTTTGCTATGCAGAATAACCTGACTAGTTAACAGTTTATTCTCACTAGCAATATATACAATTTTAATGTTTTATATGTGCAGTTCACATGATGAACATCATTAACAGGACACTATCATATGAGGTTAAGAAAGACTGCCATTGTTAACCTGTTAGTTTTCTCGCTGTCATTATGATACTTTGACTTCAATGCTGACCCAAAACAAGTATACAGATATTTCTGACACTCATTTACCGCATGCTTGTTCCATGTCAGTGGCTGAAAATACTTAAGGTAGACATAGCCAGGCATCTAGCATTTTCAGACGAAGGCCTTCAATGGCAGACTCCATAATATTCTCATACCAGAGTCACTTTAAAGAAAGCTTGTCATGAGAAAAGATGATGGCAGCCATTACTGACATATCCTTCTGCAAATGTTAGTCCCCTTGCTGTATCTATCTGTAGCACATTCTGAGTCACTGACCTGAAAGTGTGCAGATAGGAACTCCAACTTCTCTCTGACTTTCCTGAACTGCTTGCTTGTTTTGGGTCAGTCAGTTAGAACATATGATAGCCATAGGCAGTCAGAATCTACATTTCCAATGGCCAGCAATGTAGAACATGGTGGGTTTGCATATGGGTGGAACTTGGGGCCATTTTTTGGGAACATGTAAACACCCACACACATTTTGCTTAATGCTGTATATCTGCCCATCAATGATTGTGGGTGAATCGTAACCAGGTGCTGTTGCAATTGTACTCACACAGAAGGAAGCATGACACTTTTCCCTTTACAGAACACAACAAGGAGGAAACGCAACCAGGAGCCATTTCTCCAAAAGGAGAAAATAATGGTACTTGGTCAAGCAAATAGGAAGACACAGTAAACTGGAAGCACAAGGGACCTATTTTGGGTGATATACTAGCAAAATGGACTGCATATGAAAGAGCATTTTAGCACAATGGAAGGCAAATATTTGCTATTAGTATTATATTACCCCTGACTGGAGTTAAGCTTTAATCAATATATATAAATTATGATTTAAAAATATAATTATATACATTACAAACAATTATTTTCCTTTAAGATAGCTTTGCATTTCTAAGTCAAGAAAGTTTACCGATTCACCTAACATTTTAGGTCGTTAAAGATTCAATCCAACAAAACTGACATTTCAGTTGTAAACTCTTGAAGCTGAATCCTTCGCTGACTCAACTGGGTTGATATACTAAAGACAAATAAACTGTGTACCCTGCAAGTGCCGTTGCTCCAGAGCTTAGTAAAAGAAAACTTTGCTGACTTCCAGCATTCAATCACATGAAGCAAAAATGCTGTTTTTTGTTTCTCTTGCATGTGAATGGTTGTGTTTTGCAAAGTGAAGCTTCATTTACTAATGTCTGGAGCAAATGTCCTTGCAGCGTGCAACTGAACAAAGTCTTAAGTAAATCAACCCTTTTATTTTTTATGGCAAATCTAGCTACTTTATCACCCTGCAATATTTCCTGATTCTGACCTTCCACACATGGCACTGAAATGCTGAAGCAAGAGGACATTAATTTGAACTGATGGGTTCTTTTTTGTATGATAAATGGAATATATAACAGGAAATATTAGACACATATTTGTAGCAAGTGTATGGGTTTGGGAATAAAGTGCAAAGGTCTTGCATATACAAATCTAACATGTCAGTGGCTGTTTTACCTAAAAACTAAAATATCAGTGCAGTGATGAATGGTGAGACCCTTTAAAGGAAGCCTGTAGTGCCGTTGCTCACCTTAAAAATGCAAACTACCTGGCTGTTTCTGGCTTTAAAACTTTGAGACTAAGATTTGGATCAAGCCCACAGATTATAACAAGTCAATGTAAAATCAGAACTTTTAATCTGTTTCCAAGTCAGTGACTTATAAAGTATTGAAGGCGTTTAAGCTGAGTGACAGCCAGGGAGGTAGTTCATTTCAGAGATCTGTTATGGCACCATCGGTTCTCACTACAGGTTTCCTCTAAATCGACCACATTAGGTCTAACTTTTTTGTACAAGAAAAGAGAACCATTCAGAGCAAAATATTTTCAGCCCATTTGAGTTATGACTGTGAACTTTTGTTGTAAAGACAAGCTTAGAAATTAATTCTCCCTACTGTCTAAGGAGGTCAGAAAGCCATTCTTATATGATAGTTATGATGGTAACTTATAATTCCTTAGCATCCTTCATATACACTAAAGATACAGATGTTACACTGACCTATTATTCTGAGTTCTATATGTGCGAAAAACATCAGACTCACCTGTGGAATAACTTTACAAGACCTGATTGAGTCACTGAAGCCCATCCATTGCTGATAGTCAGGATACTCTCCCTTCTTTAGAAAATACTGGTGGCCCAGGAAGTTGGGGCGCTCATACAGCATCCAACATCCACTATCAACTCTGATGGAATTACAGCGACTGAAGTAAGAGTGGAGATCAGCACAGTCACCACTGCATTCATAGCAGCGGCCCTGGAAGTTCCTGTCCTCGTAGAAAATGATCTGCAATAGAATGTCACTTCCATGGTTATAAATGAACAATACTCTTGCAAAGAATTCTCAGCATGTAACTATTACTGTATTGCAAGCTACCAATTTAAAATATACTACAGTACATTACTGAAAATTATTTTATTATGACTATTATTTGAAATATAAATAGGCTAAAGCATTGTTTTTACCTTTCCCATTTTAGATGGACTGTGGATGCAGTTTCCCAGTACCTAGTGCAGAGTCTAGTAGCTCTTATATACATCGGAACCCATGCTTGATCTGCAGATTTCTAACAAAAGAGAACATTTTCTGTCCAGTAAGGGAAAATGTTCCAGGGCTCTATCTCGACTGTACTCAGGGGAACCTTTTGATGTCCAATATGCTTTTTAGGTGCTCTAATTTTGAACTGTATTGCTTGTGATCACTTTCTAGAGATTGTTGGACTATAGGGTTGATGTTGCTGATAAAAGCATATTTTAAGAAATGCCTTTATTTCATTATATTGGCCAGATTTCATTTTATGATTTTATATATATATATATATATATATATATAATATTTGTATATTAGTATGATATATATATATCTATATATAAAATAAATATATACCACAATTAAGATATTTTATTGGTTGATGTTTATAATATGTCTTCAGTGTCCAATATAATCCGTAACTATAAATCTCTATATTTTTATATCATCTGGATTGTGACAGAGATCAATGTGCAATATTTGTTTTTGGACTCTCATAAGACTTCTCTGAATAGTGAAAAAAATTTTATTGGTATCCGAAACATTGGTACACTGGGGGAGATTTACTAAAACTGTACACACAGAATCTGGAGCAATTGTGCATAGTAACCAATCAGCTTCCAGGTTTTATTGAAACTGAGCAAGCTGAAGTTAGAGGCTGATTGGTTACTATGCACAGTTGCTCCAGATTCTGGGTGCACTCATTTTAATAAATCTCCCCCACTGACTCTTTAAATGTTTACACAGACCTTAACACATACTTCCTTCCAATAATATGAAAAAACATAACCAAACAATAAACAGTTATGCAAATGTATGTCCATTACTCTATGAAAGAGTTTTCTTTTTTAAATCAACCCATATCCTTTTTTCAGTAGGTAGAGAAACTGGTTCCACATGAGCTAAGAATATTTTTATGCCCGGAGTTCAGCTTTAAACTTGTAAACATCTCATAAAAAATCTGTTTCAGTCAGTCCTCAAAGACCCACTTATTTCCATTTTGGGTATTACAGCATGTCAAAGATGCTTCTACCCTTCTTATAAAAGTCATGTGTTGCTGGTCTCTACATATGTCCGTCACCAGGAATAGTGGTTAGAATCAAAATCTGTATATGTAATGACACTGTTTAGTCTTCTTAGACTGCATGTTTTGGAAAATTTTAAATATCTAATGAAGAAAATTTTGAGCAGAACACTATATTTAATTGCTTGATGAATAAAAAGGTTCACTTTAAATTCAAATTATACTTTCCCTTTCGTAGCCATTAATTTCTTTTGACAGGTGGACTAAAGTGTCACAACTCACCAGAAGCCCTTTTTTTCATGTGACTTACACACTCAACTGCAGAGATGCTCTTTTACTCTTCAGAAAGAGGTGTACCATTAACTAAAAAGGGAATTAATCACCACTGTCTACTTAAATCTAAAAGCAAGTTAAACAGTTGATATACATAGACACACTAAAATCTTGTAATACACTAAAGGCTTGGTCACACTATTTGCAATGACTTGAATTTTTCTGCACTGCACAAACACAGGGCACTGCTAGGACACAAGGGGAAGATTTACTAAAACTGGAGCACTCAGAATCTGGTGCAGCTGTGCATAGTAGCCAATCAACTTCTAACTTCAGCTTCTTCAAAGAAAGCTTCGACAATATAACCTGGAAGCTGATTGGTTTCTATGCAAAGCTGCACCAGATTTTGCAGGCTCCAAATTTCCCCCCTAGAAAACAAGAACGTAGCAGTACAGTGTGAAAATAATGCAACATGTGAGCATTTTTCGGCATTGCTCTAGATGGCACTGCATGTCACAACACAGCAGTGCAGTGCACATACTGCTGGGCAATGGCATGAATGATGTGTTACTACATGATACTTAAACTTGGAAAAAAAAGAAAGCCAGAACTGCACTAGTGTGAATGTAGCCTAAAATATACATGTATTAAATGCATTTTAATAAAAATAGTTTGGAAGCTTCTGAGGCATGCATTCTATATAAACAGAGGGCTGAATGTATAATTATGATTGTGGTAGTAGGAAGTTGTGCTTATGGAGTTGATTAACAAAAAAAAAAAATAATAATAATTTTAGTTTATTAAAGATCATTTTATGCTTCCTCCCGCTGCCAATGGAATATACTTAGTTTGCTCATGGACAGTAAATATAGTATTGTTTTGGGTGACCATAATAGTTTACACACCCCCCACACTGCACTCTTGGGTATAAGGTACAAGCTGCTCTTAACCAATGACCAGGATGACAACTTTACACCCACAAGACAACATTTGTGATAGTGAACAATGATGAATGGGTAAAAATGTCCAAACTCCATGAAATGATCTTCATTTTTCCCTCAAGCATGATCTGTATTAATTTTAAAGTATGTCTTTTTGGTAAACCCTTTTGGATATAAACTATTTAACTAATATAAGTAACCTGGCTTATTTATCCTAATTAAAGCCCCATGTATATACTGCATGTTGAAATACATTTTTATATATTACAGAATATATGAAAAATATTTTTAAAAATATATATTTTGTAAATATATTCTTCAGATTTTATTACGGTAACATATAAAAAAGTAATTTTAACATACATTTTTACATATATTTGTAAATGCAATCCAAAAATGTAGATTTGTATTTTTAAAGACATACTGTACAGTATATTTGAAAATGTATTTTTAAATATAGTTTTCATATATTTTGTAATAAAAATGCATTTCAACAGTATATATATATATTTATTGAAATATATTTATTGAAATATATTTTGAAATATTTTAAATATGGCCAAAATTATAGTATTTCAAATATATGTCAATATATTTGGGAAGAATATTTTAAAAATATATTTCAAATATATTTTTCTTCCATGTGAGGTATTAGAACAGCTGCCAAAATACCTGAACAGAAGCTGCATCTAATTGAATGCATGTGCTGTTAAGTTTTCAATATTTGAGAGGTTTTGGCATGCAGTAGTAGAAAGCTTAGGCACTTCTGGTGGTTTTGAACATTTCCATATCTTACTGAATGTACTAGCTCTATGGATTTGCATATCAGATGTCTTCTTTTGTTAAGCTCTTTTCTCTTTCTTGGGGGGGGGGGGGTCAGATGAAGCGATAGCCAGCAGTGAGCGAAGGTCAGAGGGTGCTAATGGAGGCATAACCACAATACCTAAAGCCTGGGTGAGTGGGTTGGCAAAAAACAATTACAGCCACAGAACAACTAAGGAAGAAATAATATGTGCCCTTACAAAACTGAAAGGCATGTACACAAATGCCAGGAGCTTAGCTAACAAAATGGAAGAACTAGAGCTGCTGACACACGAGGAAGATTTTGAGTTTGTGGAAATATAAATGTGGTTTGACATCTCACATGACTGGCTAGCATCTATCTAGGGGTATTCCTTGTATTAGAGAGACCGAGAGGGAAGAAGAAGAGGAAGGTTTTTTTAGTACATTAATAATGATTTGCTAGTTAATGTGAGGGATGATATTGAAAATGGGGCAAGGGGGAGGTGCAATCCCTGTGGGAGGAGCTTCAAAGGGAGGAAACAAGTTGAAAAATAATCCCTCCCTCCCTGTAGTCTTTTGGGACACGTGACAGGTCCCAGAAGACTACAGGACCATTCACAAAGTGCAGCACTACTCGCGCATGCACAGTGGGTGCCCGGCTATGAAGCCTCAAGCTATCACAGTTGGGTGCCCACACTGAAGATGCCAGCCTCCTGCAATACAGGAAGGCTGGTGAAAGGAGCTGTGAGGGACACACCATGGGACCGAGGGACAGGTAAGTGGCTGTTTTTTAAAAGTCAGCAGCTACAATTTTTGTAGCTGCTGACTTTTATTTTTTGATAGGTCGAGTGGAACTCCGCTTTAAATGTCTTACAGATCTACATGTGCCAATTGGTGGATGCCCCTACTAGAAAGAATGCATTACTAGATCTAATCATTGCAAATAACACCGATCTGGTCGCAGATTACATTCAGCATAAACCATAAGAGGAAGAACAAGGGTAGTAAAAGAACATGAAATTTCAAAACTTTTCTAAACTACACTCAATACTACAAGATAATAAATGGGACCAAATCCTAGAAGGATTGAACACTGAGGAAAATGGGAGTACTTTAGGAACATTAAAGGTATTACCCAGTGCATACCAATGAGCCATATATATAAAGGAGTAAAAGATAAACCTGGGTGACTTATCTGTAACGTAAAAGATATATTAAAGAGAGAAAAAATGGCATTAAAAAAATATAAGACAGAAGGAACATTGCTGGCATTCCAACACTGCAAGGAATGCAATAAGAAGTGTAAGAGCACAATCAGGGCAGCTAAAATAGACTACAAGAGGCACATAGCGGAGGAGAGTAAAAAAATCCCCAAAAATGTTTTAAATATATTAACAGTGAAAGAGTGAGGTCAGAGCATATTGGCCCCATAAAAGATGATGAAGGGAAGTTGGTTACAAATGACTACAAGAAGGCAACTGTACTAAATGCATTCTTCTCCTTACTTTTTAAAAAGGAAAAGGAGGGGTTTAGTAATCAAACCTGCATCATTAGTAATGCATCACAGACTGTACCCTTGTGCTAACAGAAATCAGTGTCCAAAACAGACTTGAAAAGCTTAATGCAAATAAATCACCAGGACCAGATGATCTACACCTGAGAGTCTTCAAAGAACTCAGTCAGGTTATAGCCAGACCCCTATTGTTAATTTTTATGAGCAGCATACTGATCGGAATTGTACCTGCTGATTGATTCCAATATTTTAAAAAATGGTCAGAGATATATTCCTAATAACTACAGGCCACTCAGTCTAACATTGATAGCATGTAAACTATTGGAGGGATGATAAGGTACTATAACCAATAATTTGCTGATACAATCAGTATCATTAACAGTAATAAGCATGGAGTTACAAAAGGTTGTTCGTGTCAAACCAATCCA